ATCCCAGAAGCTTGTCGTGAGAATTTAATGAGATCAAGCCTAGAAAATAAATACCTCTCACAGTGTGGGGGACACATCACAGTTGAGCAATAAGCGGGAGCTATTGTTATTACAATGGCCAGTTTGCCTTGTGACATTTTAATGTTAGAGACACCCTCCTCCATTGCCATTTATCTGTGTGTGGCTTGGGTTCTAAGTCTCTGAGGGGAGAGGTTCTGTGACACTTAAACCACTGTCCTGAGAGGCTCTCAGAACATGGCTGCCTCTGGTCAAGTCCTGGGATCACCTGAGTCTCTCTCCTCTGCTTCCCCACCTGGTTTTGCTTGTTAGCTGATCTTAGCTCCCCCCTTTCCTTCCTCTGGCTCACCAATCAAAGCTGCTAAGGTGTGTGTCAAGATCCAGAGGGTACAGCAGTCCCAGTTTTGGAAATTATCTCAGATGTGTGTTTTATTTAATTGAGTGGTAGGAATGGTGAGTATGTGTACCAAGGTTTCTGAGTCAGGAGGAAGCTTGAAAATCAACCCTTCCCTGAGACCCCATTTTGCAGATGTAGCAAGATGTCTTTGTGCTACACCTGAATTGGTTGCTGGGAGGCCTGACCTCTGGGTCTCCTACTTATAGAACTTTGCATTTTTAATAAAATTAATTAATTTGGAGTATGTGTACCAGCATGTGGAGATCAGAGGACAACTTGTAGAAGTCTGTTCTCCTTCCACCGTGTGTTTCCCAGGGATCAAACTCTAGGCATCAGCCTCAGCAGCAAATACCTTTATCCACTGAGCTTATCTCACTAGTCCACATTTACAAAGTTTTTATCCTAGACAAGTCACTACTCTTTCTCATTTTCAGCTTCCTTCTCTACCAAACCAGATGGTTGGAGTAGATACCTGAAGCATCCTTCAATAAAACTTTATGGGTCAGTGAAACTGAACTCAGAGAGGTTGAGAAGCATTCCCTTGATTGTGAACTCCACAAACTAAAATAAAATCCTGCCTTACATTCCAGGGTTTTTGTCTGTCACTCTAGTCTCATGCCAATCAGTTGTTCTCATGCTTCCCATATTAGATGTCTGGGTCACAAAGGGGCTCAGGGCCCAGTTCTCACAGAGCTTCTACAGTGAAGCTTGGAGCACAGGCATAAATGGAAAACTATAAATTCAAGTCTAAAGTTGAAGTTGCTAGTCTGTTGCCTATTGTCCATTCTCCAAGTCTGCTAGCACAATCACCTGACTTAATCTGGGCAAAATAAAACGCAATCTTTTGAGCTTGAGTGCAGCAAAGTGTGGCCATACAGTCAAGTTCTAGACTGTGGGATGTGCAATCCTCTGGAGCAATTCCTCCTCACCCTGCTTTCCCTTACTCACTGGCTGAAATATTTAACTAGAAACTTGCTGGCTTGAGTCATAGGAACAAAGACACTGTGCTATGGATGAGCAACAAGATAGTGGAGTCTGGGACTATGATGCCTGGAGATGCTGCTGGACTCGTTCTTCTCTCAGAGACAGAAATATATCTCTAGATGCTAAATGAGGCACCAGTCTCATCTGGGTCTTTCTTGTATCTTCTAAATCCATGCTCTAACTAATAGAGAGACCAGATGAAAACCAACAGTGCTAACAGAATACAAACGACAGGGCAATCGTGCAAGCTGTGGTGGCCAGTATCCCTGCAGAGATGACAGAATCTGAACTGGGTTTATAGACTGATAAGGAGCTGGAAAGAAAGCTCAGCAGTTAGGAACACATATTGTTCTTGCAGAGGTCCCAGGTCCGGTTTCCAGCTCTGATATCCAGCTCACAAGGACCTGTAACTCCAGCTCCAAGGGATCTGAGGCCCCTTTCTAACTTTTCCAGTTAACTTCACTCACATGCACAGACATACAGAAATACACATAATCAAAAATAGATTATTAAAGCTAGGCACAGTGATGCATACCTTTAACCTCAGCACTCAGAAAGCAGAGTAAGGATGTTCCCTGTGAGTTCAAGTCCAGTCTGGTTTACATAGCAAGTTCTAGACCATTGAAGACTACACAGTGAGACTTGCTTCAAAAAATAAAAATAAAAATACTGATGAGTAAGAGGAGGCTGGCAGTACATACCTGTAAGCAGTGTCAACACTTGGGAAGTTCAGGCCAGCCTAGGCTATATAATGAAAACGTCTTGAAAACAACAAACGCAGGTGGGTGGAAGGAAAGAAAAGCCCACCTAATCTAACTGAATTCCATGTGCTTGAGCCACCTCAGTGAAACTAGAATCTAGATGGCAGTTTGGAAAGAGACTAAAGAAAAGGCTTGCCTAAGATGATGGCTTATAGCCTGAGAGATTGTTAAAATCACCTTCTAGATGATTCTGATGCTGGCTTGTATCATATCTGATAAGAAGCTAGGAGAGAAACCAGGAAGACCATAAGCAAAGAATCCATCCCTGCTATGACTGTGTTTGACATTATCCAACCTTTCTGGACTGTGTTTTTAAAAATAATTATCAAAGAAGTTGTCTGAGAGAAAGCTCACATGGTATCTTAGTTACTGCTGTTGCTGTGATAAAACACTGCAACCAAGGCACCTTATAAAAGGAGGGGTTTGCTTGGCTTTATGGTTCCAGAAGGGTGAGAGTCCATCATGTCAGGGAAGCATGGCAGCAAGAAGCAGATACAACAGTTGGAACAGAAGCTGAGGGCTTATATCTTGAACTGCAAGCATGAAGCAGAGACCGGTACTGGGAGCGGGGTGAGGTCTTAAGCTCCCCAATGACATATTTCCTCCAACAAGACCACATCTCCTAAGGCCCCCCACACAGCACTATCGGTTGGAGTCCAAGTGTTCAGATGCCCAAGACTGTGGATGGACATTTCATTCGAACTACTACACATGGTGCCTTAGAAATACCTTGGCTTGTGGGGGCAAGATGGCTTAGTGGGTCAGGGTGCTTGCTACCAAGTCTAACAACCTGAGTTTGACCTCTTAAATGAACTTACACAGTGGAAGAACTGACTTCTATATGTTGTCCTCTGACCCTCAAATATTCATGGAGGCACATGTTCTTGCATATAATCCCATAAATAAATAAATGCCAAAAAAAAAACTTAAAGAAATGCATGGGCTCTCCTTCCAGCCCTGCCCTTTGCCAACTGTGTTACAAAGCATAACACAGTTGCTCAGTTCTTTTGTCAAGGACAATAGGGAAAGTAAAGGTTGCCATGGAGATGAAATAGGAAAATGTATGTACAAATATCTAGCTCAATGTCAACACCCAATAATGCCACTGAAATGTCAGTTGCCCTCTGGGCATGGTGTTCTTGCTTGGTGTTGTGTACAAAGGCAGGGATGACATCAGTAACCAGGGGAGATGACAGAATGAGGGGGCTAGCTGTCAAGACTGTAGTCCACCCTCAGACACCCACTCACCTTGGGTGAGGGGACCCTGGCATCTGCTAGAACTGGACCATAACACCGTGAGTCTTTGGCCCCTGGATAAATAATTGACCCCTGTTATTATTTAGTGCTCCGCGGTCAACACTGGAGGCCTGCCAAAGCCAGGCCAGGCCTCTGTGGCACTGATGGGATCTTGTGGAGTCCCAGGCGGTCTCACCCTTCAGCCTTGATTTCCATTAGTTCAGGATGGAGGAGAAAGGGCATGTTCTGGAAGCTCCCAGGGTTCTGCATCATGACTTGGAGAAAATAAAAGGGCTTAATTACTTTGGGGGAAAGTACACAGGAATTTGACATTTTGAAAAATGGTTTTATGACATTTCTTTGATAGGCCTGGACCAAAGGCAGCTGCTCATACGTTAGGGAGGTGACGGAAAAAGAAAAAGAGAGGGAGTGAATGAGGCGCCCGAGCCTTTTAATAACACTCCCCTATATTTACAGAGCGCTTTCCACCATTCCAAGCAGCCTCATACTCATTACTAAATTATTTGATTTTTGTGATAACTCAACAAGAAAGGGTGGGAGGTAAAGACACTCTGTCACTCACCAGCTGGGTAATCCTTGGCAAATTAACTTTGTCGGCATCAGTTTTCTCTCCTTTCAAATAGGGATGCTGTCTGCTCCATGGGCTTGTGGTGATAATTAAATGAAAGAGTGTAAACGAGGCCCGGAGGACGGCTGCTATCAAACCATGCTGCAGGTTTCCATTTCCTACTATGTAGATGAGAAAACTGAGGGCAGAGAAATATTGGAGTCCAGAGGATGACAGGACCCAGCATCCGGACACACCCACCCGGGTCAGAGTTTTCTTGCTACAACATGCAGAGTCTTTAGAGGCTGTTGTACAGAAGAAAGTCCTGTTGGTGCCATTTTTCACCAGTCCCATCCTTGTGATAGAATCTTTGGGGTTTCTAATACACAAAAGAGGCAGGTGGCAAGACAGAGCTCATGGGGAAGGCAACGGGGAGTGAGGGAGGGGAGGAGGCTGAGGTCAGTCTGGCTTTAGGAGTGACTATAGTTTGCCAGGCTTGCAGTGAGATGGACTAGCACAGGTCACAGAGCACAGGGCCTCCGGGATTAGAAAGGGTCATGTGTGAGTCTGACACACATGGACAAAGAGTATCTATCATAGCCATGTCAGCAAATTAAAAGCTGGACATGATCTCTGCAGACCGATGGAGTTAGGGAAAATGCCAAGAGGCTAAACTCAGAGTTGTGCATTGTGATGGTTAATATTGGTTTTCAACTGGACAGGGTCTAGAGCCACCTAGGAGACAAAGCTCTGAGCATGTCTGTAAGGATGTTTCTAGCTTGAGTTGACAGTAAGATGAGCACCACCTAACTGTTCATGGCAACCATCTCACGGGATATAGCTCTGGACTAAAGAAAAAAAAAAAGAGACAGTAAGTTAAGCATCACATCCATCTCTGTCTGCTTCCTAAGTGTAGATGCATGTGACCCATTGCCTCGGGCTCCTGCCGCCAAGTCTCCCTTGCCATAATGTGTTGTTCCCTTGAACTGTGAGACAAAATAAATCCTTCCTTCCTTCAGTTGCTTTTGTTGGGTATTTTGTCATAGCTAGGAGAAAAGTAGCTAGTATACGCATTGAGTTTCAAAAGCAAAAGCACTGAGCGAGAGAAACTTGAAAAGACCCATTCTGCTTTCCGGGAGATGGCTGCCAATCAGGAGGCTGCCTGGTGTAGCAGAAAGGACAGCTGATCAAGGGTTCAGGAGCCCCAGCCCATCCTCACTCCACACAAGCTGTTAACTTGAGGTCAACTTGTCCTCTCGGGACCTCAGCTTCCTCTCCTGTAAAATGAATGGAGAAATGGCTCTGTGGTTAAAAGCATGGCCTGCCCTTCCAGAGGACCTGGGTTCAATTCCCAGTACCTACATGATTGCTATATGTAACTCTCCTGTACTCCTTGAGTACCAGACACACACACCACACATACACATAAAAATAAGTGAATGAATGAATGAATGTAGGAGACTGGGCTATGAGATAATCCTCACAGTTTATCTCAAACTCAATATACATATTCACATTTTATCCATGTAATAAAGGTTTGGCTTTTTTTCCATTTAAAAATTTTATTGAGTCATAGAAAGGTAAATTAAAGTAAGGAAATAATGGGCAGTGAAAATATTCTAAATGGAAATTCAAATATTCACTCACTGAATGTAATACAAATACTTTAAGACTCCTAAATGAGCAATAAATTCTTAGAACTAACATAAGAATTGAGCAGCCTGGTAGTGGTGACACACAGGAAGTAGGGGTAGGAGGATCTCTGTGAGTTCAAGGCCAGCCTGATCTACAAAGTAAGCTCCAGGACAACCAGGGCTACACAGAGAAACCCTATCTTGAAAAACCAAAAGAAAAAAAATGGAATTGAGTCAAGTATCTGAATATAAGACAAATGCAGAACACTGAGCAACTAAACTGCTAATAATTTCAAGAATGTAATTTAAAAATATTAATAGATTCTCAAATTATAAAATAGCTGTTCTGTTTGCTTTTTTGTTTGTCTGAGTTTTGCTGTGCCAGGGACAGATTCCAGAACTTCACGTATACTAAGCTAAACTCCAGGCTGGACTGTGTAGTTTTAACATCAGTTCAATGAGATCTGAGAGTGTGTCAGAAGTGGTTAATGTGAGCCAAGTGTGCACAAGTAGAAACATAATGGTCACTTTAAACCAGACAGCAGCCTGGCTAACCTCCGTTTCTGGCTCATTATGGGGACAGCACACATTCTGACAGCAGCCTAGCTAGCCTCAGTTCTGGGGAAGCCTTCTTTGTAGTGGTTCATTATAGGGACAGCACACATTCTGAAGGCTCTGCAGGAAAGAGTTCAGAGAGAAGCAGGGGGTTGGGAGGAGGGAGCTTTTCAGAACTGAGAGGTCATGTTTGAATTTGGAATAGTTAAGAATGCAGAAGTTTGTGTATGTGTGCTCACATGTATGTGTTTATGTGCTTCTAGAGGCCAGAGGACAACCTTGTCTATCATTCCTCGGGTGAGACACGGTCTCTCATTGGTCTGGAGCTTGCTAAGTAGGCTAGGCTAGATAGCTAGTGAATCCCAGGGATCTGCCTGGTTCCTCCTCTCCAGTGCTGGGATTGTAAACACACATAGCTATGCCTAGCTGCTTCTTTTTAAAAACATGAATGCTGGGGAATTGAACCCAGGTCCTCATGCTTGCAAGCATCATTTTACCAACTGAGATGTCTCCCCAGCCCCGTCTTGGAAATATTTACCACAAAAAAGAAAATCCAGGAAAGGAAGCTAACAGCAGTGATTCTAATATCCAGAAAGCAACAGCTAGGAAACTAGAGCAGGATGATCTTGAACTCTGACCTCTGCATGTGGATGAACTGGGTCATCTTGAGCTTGGATGTGACTCTGCCTCAGTGGAGCGAGAATAGGAGGGTCCTGAGCAGAGGAAGTAGACTGTAGCTGAAGGTGCTGACCACAGCCAAGAGATCAGCCTAGGCTGTAGATGGGGGCTTCACATGGGGTGCTGGAGTTCTAGAGCATGTTGGTATTTCCTCCAATTCAGAGAGTTGAGGCTGGGAAGGAACAGAAGTCATGGAGCACACGAGAGGAGTAGGGTGAAGAGAGGCAGTGGGGTAGGGTAGACTGGTTGCCTGTGTTAATGCCACATTAATTATGTGGCAAAACAGCACAGAGGCTGGGGGCTGAGTTGGCCTTAGCAATTCAAGTATGGGGCAACTGATCAGGGTGGGAGCCACAGGTCAGTAAAGCCCAGTGTTGACTGCTTCTGTCCACTCTGTTAGATCATTGGGCCCCATAGAACAGGTTTTGCTGAGCTCTTTCTTCTTTCTCCATCAGTCAGCTCTGGCACCACATAAGACATACCACCAGTGCTCAATAAACATCAAGAGACTGTGTGAATGGGCAAAGGAACAGTTGGAACTCAACAAACAGTTATTGACTCAATTAATTAATGAATTAATTAATGGGAAATTGACTGAGCCTTTCATTCTGACCCCACAGAGTTGAAACTGTGAGAAAGGAAACTCACCATTGAGAAAAGATGGAGGTGATCTGAACAAAAGTAGCAAGAAAAAAGTGGGAAAGAGATAGGGAAAAAAAAACCAAAACACAAATACTGATCAGTGAGACAGACCATCAAGACTGTCCTCTAGGAATAGTGCTTTATTCACCCACCCAACCATCCTCATGGCTGCCCATCTATCAGTTCACCCATCCACCCACCAATCCATCTATTCACCCATGCATAGAGTTCCATTATTCATCCATCCATCTATCCACCCACCCACCCACCTATCCATCCACCCATTCAACCATCCATTCATTCACTAACCTATATATACATATGAATACACACACACACACACACACACACACACACACACCTATCTATCTATCCAACTGTTTTTCCCTTAGTTCATTCCTTTATTAGCTTTTTTGGGGGGAGGGGAGTTTATCACCATATCAACTTGTACTGGAAAGAATGAATGAGGAACATACAAGGCATGAAACCCAACTACTGCATCTGGGATCTATATTTTTTAATTACAGAAGATACACTAAAATAATACTTCTATGACTCCAAGTATATAAAAAAGAGCTCCCTACTTGCCAAATCATAAATTCTGATACACCAACTGGGTGTCTTCTAAGATAATTCAATTCTGTCACTACCTGATAGCATCAGGTCCATAGGTTAGAGCACAGTCCTGGAGGCCCTCCCTACTTTAGATGACAGTTGTAAGCACATGGGTTGTGGCCTGGGCTTCTGATCAAGGGGTTATCCATCAGGGTTCACTGTCTTCCTTGGGTTGGATTAATCTTCTAGAATGACTCATGGAATTCATGAAAATAGAAGATTCACATTTAGCTATCTATTATAAATAATGTTATAAAAGAAATAGATGAATAGCCAGATAGAAGAGACTACAGAGGAATCCAGGTGGGTAGCGACTCAGAGAACTTCCAGGCCCTCTTTGGGTATGGCATCTTCCGTGAACGTATGCCTGTTCAGCTACCAGAAAGCTCCCAGAACCTTGGAAGGTTTGTGTGGGTGTGGAGGAGGAGCAGGGGAGGCATGGTCGCTTTTCTATGTAGAAATGATTGATTAAATTTCTGGTCACTGGTGATCAACTCAACCTGCAGTTTCCTCTATTCTTAAATGTTAAGGGTAGGACTGAAATTCCACCCCTCTGATCTTGCCTTAGTATTTCCTGTGACACAGCCTCCCCTGACATATATCTTAACAGAAAGTTCCTAGGGACTGTTGGTTTTAGTCATCTCATAAACATACCAAAATATACATCCTTCCAAGGCTTTAGAAGTAGCATGTCAGGCTTAGTGGTGGTGGTGCATGTTTTTAATCCCAGCACTCGGAGGCAGAGGCAGAGGCGGGTGGATCTCTATGAGTTCGAGGTCAGCCTGGTCTTCAGAGTAAGTTCCAAGACAGACTCTAAAGCTACACAGAGAAACCCTGTCTCAAAAAACAAAAACAAAACAACAACAACAACAAAAAAGTAACAGTATGTCAGGACACAGGAAAACAGACCAAAAATAGCAATAAAAGGGGCTAGAGAGATGGCTTAGCAGTTAAAAGCACTGGCTGCTCTTCCAGAGGACCTGAGTTCTATTCCCAGCACCTACATGGCAGTTCACAAATGTCCTTAACTCCAGTTCCAGGGGATCTGATGACTAATTCTGTTCTTCGAGATACACAGACATATATAGACAAAACACCCATATACATTTATTTTTAATTTAAAAAATAGCAAGATGCATGGTAATTTAAGTTCACACAAACTGTACTTTCGGAGGCTACCAGACCTGGATTGTGGGGGGAGCTCAGAGAAGAATGAGTAACATCCTCTTGTCTGGGAGTGCCCAGTGGGTGGCTGGGATCTGAGGGCATTGGACACTAGCTTGATAACCTGCTCTGCTTCACTGAGCTGGCCCACTCAGAGAGTGGCCAAAGCCAGGAACACTAGAGCTGCCACCAAAGGTGAGCAGGTACAGCTGCTCCCCGGGGCTTGTGCAGAAGCAGCCAATGCCCCTCCCCGCCCATGCCTGTCCCCACCAATAGCTCTTGTTCTCTAAGGCAGCAGTTATCTTACATCCCGTTGTCTCTGATCACCATTGGGAAGCTGCTCTTTTATAAATTTTTTTGGACAGCCTTCACCATCAAAAGGGCTCAGGCTTTGGCCCAGCGGATCATTCCAACGGTAGAATCTACTTCTGCATTCCTTGCCACTGGGAGCCTTTGACCTTGAGTTTAACTTGTATGGCACACTTGACCTTCCTTTGGGGTAAATTCTCTTCCAGGAGGCTCCTTGGTTCTTCATGTGAAGAAAATCCTGCTGGGCCTGTCCTGATAGTTCACCAACCACTTTGACCCAACTGCAATCAGAACTTAGGCTCAAAGCTAGCGTCCCATACTATCTGAGGATGAGTGGATTGAATTGTGTGGATGCTGATCTACGTCTTAATTGGTTGGAGCCTGGAACACTTCGTTGAAGGTTTTGGAGCTTAAGACTAGTAAGATAAAATGTAGTACAATGAACGATTCCGATACCCGCTGTCTGTATGTGTTGCCTGTGGTGCACATATCCCTCTCCCTTCCACAGCATGTGGCAGACATCAACAATCAATCACGGCACCATCTAGCAAGAGGGCAGGAAGCGAAGAGATTTAAGATTTACTTATGGTGTGAAGGAGGTGGCTCAGTGGGTAAAATGATTGCCAGATATGCATAGCACTTGATTTTGAACCTCCAGCACCCATGTTAAAAGTTGGGTATGGTGGCACGCTATAATCCTAGAACTGGGGGGGATGGAGACAGGTGAACCTCAAGAGCTAGGCAGTCTAGCTGAAAACCCCAGGCTCCAGATTCAGGGAGAAATCCTTTCTCAAAAAAAAAAAAAAGACACATGAGTGAGTGCTCCTATGTACACATTCTGTGTGTGTGTGTGTGTGTGTGTGTGTGTGTGTGTGTGTGTGTGTGTGTGTGTGTGTGTGTGAGAGAGAGAGAGAGAGAGAGAGAGAGAGCAGCAGCAGCAGTAGAGTCAGACTCTTCCTTTAAATTACCGGTCCAGCTGCTACCCTTCCTCCACTGTCTCACATAGTCCCTTAGTGACCTTTCTAGAAAAGGTTGGGCCAGAAGATCACTGAGGGCAGAACTGAGACTTACCCTGGACAGAGCTCTACCCAAGCACCATAATACACAAGCAGTCTTTTCAGTTTCTCCCAATGGCTGGTAATGATGAGTGCTGATAATGATGATAAATCCTGTGGCGGTGCTGCCCAGGCGCCCATCACTGGTAAGGGGTTAGACTTCTCAGCAGCAGAGAAAGGGTTAGTGGCTCCCCAAGGCATCTTTATATGTGATGGATTATTAGACGACTCCTGACCGTTTCAAAACGCACATATTCATCAGTATTACCCAAGCCCCACGAGAGCCCTCAGCCACAAGATTCTCCTAAATGCTTTTCCTAAATGCAGACTCTGTCTTTGGCTTTCCTGCTGACACCAACCACAGAGGGATGGCTGTCTTTGACTGCTTGTTGCCCTTGATGACTGAGATACCTGTTTGCAGATCTACTGATTTCCTAGGGGTCTATTTTCCAGGCCAACAAAGTTGGGTCACACATGGTTCAGTTCCACAGGAACATATTTCCAAATCTGGCCCTTTAGGTTATGGAGTGGGGAGGTTTATAGTGGAGGCAAATGGTGTGTGTCCACATCTTCCCTATTCCATGAGCACACACCTGCAATTCCATGTTTTCCACCCCATGTCAGGCAGGAAACATGGATCTACTGCCCCAGATTAATTGTGCACTTGTGTATGTCAGCATGTGTGTCTGTGTATCTCTCTGTGTATGTCATGTGTGTTTGTGTGTGTCTCTGTGTGTGTGTGTCTGTTTCTCTAGAGTGTATGTTTCTCATGTGTGTGTGTGTCTGTCTCTATGTGTGTCTGTGTCTGTATGTGTGTGTGAAATACACACACACACACAAGAAACACACATACACATACACACACACATACACACACACATACATACAAACACACAGAGAGGGGGGGAAGGAGATTTAAAAAAGGAGGCAGCTGATGGGATTTCCCTAGAGATCATTTATTCCCACCTCTATTGCACAATGATCTCTGGGATGGATGAGCAGAAAAAGACAGAGGCCCGGACTCTAGCCTGAAGCTCCCTTAATACCAGCCACATGCTAAGTCTCTTCTGGACCTGGACTTGGACTCAACGTGGCGTCCCACCCTTCTGACCAGTGGGAGCAGGGTGGAGGACCAGCAAGCCTCTCGTACGTCTGATGCAGTGCCCGAGAACATTAGAAGCAGAGAAGGAGCCAAGCATCCTCATCCAGCTGGGAGATCAAAAGCCATGAGAAATAGAAAGTGTACTCTTTTGTCAGTTTTGCCTGCAAAGGCCATTTGGCAGAACTGACTGAGTGGCAGGGGTTGATGCCAGCTGAGCGAGACTTCAGCCAGCATGAGGGTGGCATGTGACAGCCACCCAAGGCTCAGGGCAGAGGCAGCTCTGTTTGCCATCTGCCATGCTCTGGCCTTTTGACCAGGCACCATGGGGTGCCACGCCTTGTGCCTAGTCCATGCCAAGAAGCAGGAAGTGGTGGCAAATGCTCAAGATGCCCCTGGGCAGGGTGAGAGGGCACAGCTGAGTTTTGATCTGGTGCCTACTAGGATGGGGACAGCTGGCAGAGCAGGATCTGAGAAGCCAGTATGGGCCCTAGAAGCCAAGGACAAGGTCCTTCGGGGGAGTGTGATCACCAAATCCAAGAGGCTGAACAGAAAATAGCCTTGTTCATTCCTCAATTCCAGCTCCCATTTTAGAGATGAGGAATCTGCGTCTCATCCAGGGCTCTTAAGCAGCAAAACAGAAGCTACAATTGTGTGTCCCACCATTCTGCCCGAGTCCCTTTCCACCATCAAACATATCTGTGTATGTGGAGGGTGGTGCACAAGTGTATATATGCATGTGGGGGTCACAGGTCAAGGTTGGGTGTCTTCTTTAATCACTTCCCATCTTAG